TTTTTTAGCTGTCACTAAAATTCTAGTCTAGGAATTGTAGAATCAATTTTACTTGGCCACATCACTTGATTAAGAAGTCAGTTCTTAGATAACCAAATAGACAAACATTTATTTGCCTTACAAACATATTATAAGAATTCTTGATACAATGGATGTTGATTTATATCTTATCTTTACACTTAAAGCAGCTAACAGTAATAAGAGTAAAATAAAGTAAGACAATTAATAAATGGATCCAGCAACCTGCAGATCTATCAGCCTGACCTCAGTACCTGAGAAGATTCTGGAAAATATAATCAAGCAACGAATGTGCAAATACCTAGAGGCAAACAAAGTCATAACTAGTAGTCAACATGTGTTTGTCAAAAACAGATCATGCCAGATAAATCTTATTGTATTCTTTGATAAACTGGTAAAATTAGTGGACCAGAAAAATGCTGTGGATATACCGTAATTTACTTGGATTTTTGTAAAGCATTTGATAAAGTAGACCAAAGCCTACTTGATAAGATAGAAAATTAAAACATTAATAACATATAGACACCACCCATAAAACTGAACAATTAAATCAGTTTTTATTAATTAAAACCTGCCTGATTTAAAAGAAATTTGCCTGACAGGAGAAAGAAAAACAGTGATGGAAATAACCTAGCCTCCCTTCCCCCAAAATTCCACATCATTTGTTTCTCTTTTCTTTCTGAACATTTGAGATTTTCTGCGTAGCAGTAGTGTCATGATATCTTCTCTAAGAAAGACTTATAATGTTGTAATATGCTCTCCCTCAATGGCTCCCATAATATATGAAATGAATAATTTCATTTGAATGATGATTAGGCAAGAGATAAATATACCATGTTAGTTTTTAATCCATATGTCAAATAAAACAATTGTAGAAACTTGCGACTTTATCAAAGATTTCATTGAAAATTAGCAAAACCCAAAACTCATAATTTTAAATCATATTTTTAATAGGAGAGATGAGCTTGCTTATTTGTACCCAAATCCTAAAATCTGGATTTCACTTTGGGGACAGTCAAAGTCCTGTCATTCACTGAAGTCAAAAAAGGGGAAGACTTTTTCCTGATCTGAAATCAGCTTCTTTTAAACTGCTGCAGCTTGTAAAACACTAACAGTGCTCCTGATGCTCTTTTGCTCCCTGTTAGTGTCTTTTCATTACAGCTTGCTGTTTGTAACATACAGATACAGACACTTTGCATTTCGTTCCTCATAACCCTGCTTCCTTTATGCGTGCGTGTTTTCAAGTCAAGTCCTGGACAAAATTTGGGAAGCGGTCTGCCATTGCCTTCTTGGTTCATGGATCTAGTCTGGTGTCTTAACCACTAGATCAGACTGGCTCTCAGTTGAAATCTACCTTCCTGGAAATGATCCAAGTTAGGAAACACAAAACCCCTTTGGTTAGTGTCTTTTATCTCATTTAGGAAGGCTATTTAAACACCATTCTTATGAGGCCTCTGTCTGAGAGTTAATATTATTCGTACCACTATGAATGGTGTTGATTTCCCA